TTAAAATAGATTGTTGGTCTTTTTGTTGTTGAGATGTTGAAGTTTTATATAAATTTTAGAGATTGAGCCCTTGTATGGATTGCATCTCACTGTAAAGAAAACAAAAATCCTCACCACTGGACCCATAAACAACATTTTTATCAATGGAGAAAAGATAGAAGTTGTCGAAGACTTCATTCTTCTTGGATCAACTGTCAACACTCATGGAAGCAGCAGTCAAGAACTCAAATGACATATTGCATTAGACAAATCTGCTGCACAAGAACTCTTTAGAGTGTTGAAGAGAAAAAATGTCATCTTGAGGACTAAGGTACGCCTGACCCAAGTCATGGTGTTTTCAATAACTGATATGCATGTGAAAGCTGGACAGTGAATAAGGAAGACCATAGAAGAATTGATGCATTTGAGCTATGATGGTGGAGGAAAATATTGAAAGTACCATGGGCTGCCAAAAGAACAAACAGATCTGGGTTGGAAAAAGTACAGCCAGAGTGCTCCTTGGAGGCCAAGATGGCCAGACTTCATCTCTCATACTTCGGACATATTGTCAGGAGGGACCAGTCACTGGAGAAGGATATCATGTTTGGTAAGGTGGCAGGGTCAGAGAAAAAGAGGAAGATCCCCAGTGATATGGCTTGGCAAAGTGGCAGCATCAGTGGGCTAAAGCATGGCAACAACTGTAAGGTAGCTCAGAACTGGGCAATGTTTTGTTCCATTGTGCATAGGATTGCTATGGCTTGGTACCAGCTCGATGGTACCTAACAAAATAGATTCTCCTTTCACACTTTTGATGAAATATTTTGATTCTCCCCCTGGTCGTCAGCACACAGCCCCCTCTCCCTCTCTGAGTCTAAAGTCCCCAGCTGCTCCATCTCTCCACATCATCTTCTCTGCCTCCATCTCTGGCATCACTACTTCTCTGGGTAGAGTCCCGCTCTCCGCTCTTCTCCCTTCATGGTCCCATTAAGGGAGTATTTATAAGCATTTAATTTAATTTTTTTTTTTTTTTTAGTTTCAATTTTGTTTGATAGTCACAAACCTAGGGACCCTAATTTATCTTAGGGTCCTTAGGTTTATTCCTATGTTTTTTGTTTCTTCAATGAATTTTATAGTTTTATGTTTTACATTTAGGTCTTTAATCCATTTTGAGTTCCTTCTTGTGTTTGGTATGAAGTATGGATCCTGTTTTATTTTTCTACAAGTAGCTATACAGTTATGCCAGCACCATTTATCAAAGAGATGGTCTCTTCCCCCATTTAATGGACTTCATCCCTTTGTCAAAGATGTTGTTAAATACCGTGGAGTCGGTTCCAACTCATAGCAATGCTGTACAAGGTTTCCAGGGCTGTAAATCTTTACGGGAGCAGAAAGCCTAATCTTTCTCTCTCAGAATGGCTGATAGTTTCAAACTGCTGACTTTGAGGTTAGCAGCCCAATTTGTAACCACTACACTACCAGTCAAAGATGTAGTACAAAAGAACACCCACACTTACAGACAATACCCACTTGACCTGGCTTCAATGGCTAGATGATCAGAGCTCAGCCAGAAGAAGAAAGAAAAGGTAAAAAAGAATAATCTGATACAATTTGATGAACTTGACCTACACCTATGGATGCAGTATCTCAAAAGGGGGAACAAATCTTTACAGCAAGGATCATTCCCACCCCCTCCATACACAGAGTAGACAGGGATGGGCAACTTGAACTTGGTCTACCCAAAGTGGGAGGGCTACAAAGGCAAGAAGTGACTGGCTTATAAACTTTCAAGAGGAACCTAGATCCAGAGGGCGTGGAGGAAAGTAGAGTCTCCACTGAGTAGTATACAATCTGTCTAGGTGGGGCTGATGAAATGAGATTCGGATAGGTCTCTTGTGATAAAGTAGCGATAATTGTTATCAGGACTGATTGGAAATGTAAAGGTAGACGTTTTGTAGCAAAAGGAGGGGAGTGATTAACTTTGCAGTCTAGGATCGGAGGTCCCTAGGACCATCAACGGAGAAGAGCCGAGAGTGGGACCCTACCCAGAAAAGCAGCGACTCCAGAGATGGAGGAAGAGACAATGATGTGGAGAGATGGAGCAGCTAGGGACTTTAGACCTAGAGAAGGAGAGGGACTGTGTGCTGATGACCGGGGGACAGGCTTTTAGGCTATACCCTTTGCTTGGTTGATGATGCATGGAGGGGATTGTAACCATGACAATGAAATGATATACAATAGGATGAATGTAAAACTAATGATCTCCCATGTAAACTATCGCATAATTCACAATAAAACATTAAAAAAAAAAAGAAAATATAGTATGACCTTATGTTGAGTCAGCTGATAACATTTTCACAGGCCTTATTTCTAGATCTCATATTCTAAATCAGGGGTTAGGACTCCAACACATCTTTTTGGAGGATACAATTCAATCCATGACAGATGGCAAAGAATGAAGAAGCATAGACTTATATAAAACACTGAGGGAAGTGCAGGGACTCAGGGCTGAAGTGGACAAGTATGTCCCAGAATGGGAGATCAGATCAAATCCTAAATCCTCCTAATAATTCATTGCACAGCAGTTAAAGGGATTAGCTATCCTTGATCCACAACAAAAGAGTCCTGCCGTGTCTTTTCTCTCATTGTTTCCTCTTTGCACCCACCTTGTCCCCTCCCACCAGGTTTTCTCTGCTGCTCAGATCCCACTGCATTGTCCTTCTTGCTCTGGGCAGTGAGTGTGAAGGAGTTGAAGGAGAGGAAGCTGGGACAAAGAACTCTGTGACTTTTCTGGGAGAGAGATCCCAGAGAAAGGACCTAGAGCTCTCCCTCCCCCCTCACAATCTCCTTCCCCCACCAAAGACTCAGTTCATCAAACACTTATCATGTGCCAAGCACTATGCTAGGTCTCCAGGACACTGAGATATTAATAAAACATGATTCTTGCCCTGAAGGAATTCACAGGATAAATAATGGTCATATTATGTGAATTTAGTAGGAATATGTCCTAATTATATGGAGGATCACAGGAGGCCATGTGCAGCTGTAAGGGGATCAGGGGAAACTTCCCAAGATGCTAGAGCTGGGTCTTGCATGAGGCACTGGGAGAAGCCCAGAGTTGTGAAATAACAGCACGAATTCACTGGAGCTGGAATTCATTGGGGAAAAGCTGGAGCGCACAGCATACGTGGTGTGAGTGGAGGTGAGGAGGCAGCTTTGCTGTTGTGCTGCAGACTTCAGACGTTCTCTTACAAGGAACGGAAGCCCCTTAAATGAATTGAGGTTCAGACTTGTGTTTTTGGTGACTCCCCCTGGGTATGATGTGAAGGACAGATGGATGGGGGAACATTGAACATGGCTCTGCCTGGCCTCTGAGGCTGCATGGGGCTAACATAAGGCTTTCATGTCTCTGACAGACCCCATTTTGTTTAGTGTCAGCTGGCACACCCTCACATATGTCAACCTCCAGAAAATGATCCTTAGCCTCTATTATCTTTGTCCTCGATAACAAGGCTCTCATAGGTGGTGCAGGGGTCCCCTGCTCCCCCAGTCTGACAATACCCCCTGCTTTGAGATCCCTCAGCTAAGTCAACTGTTTCTACTGGGGAAAAAATTCCACTGGGGAGGCAGCCAGTTTCTTCCAGTGGCTAAAGGTGATTTCAACCTTTAGGGGAGCCTCTGATGAGATCAGGACAGCCAGGGTGGGACAGCCATCTCTTACTTGTTTTTGTCATTAGCTGTGGAGGCATCTGCTGCCAACTCATGGAAAGCTCATGCACAATGGAGCAAAACACTGCCCTGTCCTGTGCCATCTCCTTGATCAGCTATGGATCGGGGCATTGTGATCCATAGGGTTTTCATTGGCTGGTATCTGAAGTAGATCTCCATGCCTTTCTTCCTAGTTTGTCTTAGTCTGGAAGCTCTGCTGAAACTTGTTTGGCATCATGACAACACACAAGTCTCCACTGACAGATGAGTAGTGGCATTGCATGAGATGCACTGGCCAAGAATCGAACTTGCACGTGAAGTGAGACTTCTACTATGGAGCCACCACTGCCTCATACCCTCCTATTAGTACTGGTGATGATGCATTTGAGACAGTCACAGTTTATACAATTCCAATTTATGTAGGTTTCAGATTCAACAAACACTGGGCCAGGGACTTTCCACATGGCTGACAGACTTCAAGTATAGGCTCAGGGAGTGTTACCTCATTTCTTCATCACTTATTAACGGCACAACATTAGGCTAGTTACTGTTTCTACATTTGTCTAATGGGGCGAGTAATAGTACCTCTTTCACAGGGTGAGGAAGGAGGTAATGTCTGTGAAGGGCTTAGTTCAGCACTCAGCAAATGTTTGCTGTCCTTCCAGAAATGTAGACGGTGTGCTCCAATATTATAGCTGTGAGAACTGAAGGGACTACATTGCCCAAGGCCTCACAGTTAGTGAACAGAACCCAAGTCACTCTGGCCATTTCCCAAGGTGCTGCTTCTGGCCACATATTTGCCCCCTGTTGCCACAGTCTTCTCTGTCTGACTTATCTGCTTTCCATGCCATGAAAGGATGAGACTCTTGTTTGCTGCCTGAGTCAGGAACCAGTCATCTAAAGCTGCCCAGTGACTGTATCTTCCCGGTCCCTCCTGGTTACCAGCTGGTCTTAATTAGCAGTACCTTGCTCCCGGCATGGTGAACGAAACTTCTCTCTGTATCCCAACAAACAGATCAGGGACCTGCCATCCTGATGACAGTGGGAAGCCTTGTATGGGACCCACGAGGCTGGAGGAGAAATAGTCATTCTCACTGAGGGACATGATGATACCATCTGGGATGTATGAGGGGGCTTCAAAAAGTTCTTGGAAAAAGGGGATTATAAGAGAGTGGGATTTTTTCATGACTGTTTTTAAGTCTCCATGTATCTGTGTCCACTCCTGGAAGGACCATAGAGCAGGGAAGCAAAACCTTCCAAGCTGGCAATGCTGTGGGCCTTTGAGTAGCCCTTCTCTTTCCCCTCTGTGTTTTCAGGCTATGGAGAGCAAGCTGCTCATTGGAGGCAGGAACATCATGGATCACACCAACGAGCAGCAGAAGATGTTGGAACTGAAGAGGCAGGAGATTGCTGAGCAGGTGGGGCTGCCAGGCTTCCAGTTCCTGGAGACACGTGGCCTTAAAGTCTTGTCTTGAGATCAGAGACAGAAAGGATCCCTGGCTCTCCAGAGCGGAACCTAAAACATAACCCCCTAGATCCCATGGGTCGACCCCTGACTAGAGGCCTGTATCTGGCAGGAGCATTGCAGGCTGGTAGGGAGAGGAAATGGTAGTTTTCCATAATGTTGGTTTCCACAAAGTATCTGGAATGAACTGCTGGGCCTTCCACAGACTATGAGCTCTTGCCAACTGTAAGACTGTTTCCTAAACCAAGAGCCACAATTTCGTGGTTTTAGCAGTCAACCACAACACCAGCTGAGGAGAGGTAGCAAGTGGGGCTGTATATGGGGCTGACACCTCTGGGGCATGCCAGTCATGAGGGTTGGGCCTCTATCCTTAACAGAGCAATGCCTGGCAAAGGCAGGGCCATACCAGAGAAGGAGGAAGCGCTCACAGAGGTTTCACTCAGGATTGGTTAAGAGCAGTGGGCATGGACCATTGGAAGCCCTCCCCACCCCTGAGCTCCCTCAGCCCTCCCCCAGCACTACCTGCTCTACTGAGGCCCTATGCCCTGTCTTGGCCTAGAAACGCCGAGAGCGGGAAATGCAGCAGGAGATGATGCTCCGAGATGAGGAGACCATGGAGCTCCGGGGCACCTACACATCCCTGCAGCAGGAGGTGGAGGTCAAAACCAAGAAACTCAAGAAGGTGAGATGTCTCAACACGACAGGCCCAGAGTGTGCTAATGGCCCAGCAGCCTCTGCCCACTCTGCCTGAAATGCTGAACCCCCAAGCTACATACCTGGGGCTACTGGGATGAGGAGTTGTTGTTGTTAAGTGCCGTTGAGTCAGTTCCAACCCACAGAGACCCTGTATAGGGTTTCCAAGGAGCAGCTGGTGAGCTTGAACCACTGACCTTGTAGTTCAAACAGCTTTGCAAGTCAGGCGCATTAATGCCCAGCACCATACCAGGAGGAGGAGTAGGGCTCTGCTAATGGGGGTGAGGGGGACAGAAGTTTTTCTGCTGGCCACAGCTGAGCCTGATAGGTTGGGAATGCTTGTTACTTCCAGTCTCCATGGTTGCCATCCTCCTGGTCTTGAGAAACTTCCCCTTAACAGTATGGTCACTGAGCTACAACTGAGATGCCTGGGCTGGAGCATGGACAGGGGAGTGGAGGGCCGAGGAGGCTTGAGGAGAAAACCCCAGCCTGGGGATGCTCAGGAAGGAAGCTCAGAGACCCTTGATGGCATGTCATCTGGTCAGCAGGACCCTGGAAAATTCATGCCTGTGAGATAAAAGTTGAGGGCAAGGAGTGGCAGGTTTCAGGTTGGGTTCTGGCCATGCCAGGTAGAGGGCATGACTCTCAGTGGGTCCCAAGTGAAAACAGGCTGAGTGATGCCCTCCACACCCCACTTTTGAGAGGACCACTCACATCCCATCCCGGGACTTCCTGAGTCCTAGGTCTCTGAATGAGTCTTGATAGTTGGGTCCTGATTCTAGCTTTGCTATTTACTAGTTGTGTACCTTTGAGCAAGTCTGGGCTTCAGTTTCCTCCTCTACAAAAAAGAGCACATTAGACCAAAAAGCCCCTCGGGTTCTCCCAGTCCCAGCATTACAAAATTCCCTGGTGCTGGAAGCATCTAAGAGGTAATAGTCACAAGGAGCAGGGCAACCTGGAACCCTTGAAACAGCCCTGCTTGATTCCATATGGGAGAGCAAGGAGGGAGGTTCAGACTTGGCCCCACGCTTTTTCCTGGGATGAGCTGGTGGCCCCTGAGTCTACAGCCTTGAGACCCAAGCTGGGTGGCTGAGCCTCCTGGCCACACAGTGCAGCCTCTGAGCCTCGCCTATCTCCACCAGCTCTATGCCAAGCTGCAGGCGGTGAAGGCGGAGATCCAGGACCAGCATGACGAGTACATCCGTGTGCGGCAGGACCTGGAGGAGGCGCAAAATGAGCAGACCCGGGAACTCAAACTCAAGTATGCCCCCTTCTCTTCCTGTTGAGGTCCCTCACAGCCATCCCTCATTCCCCAGGCTGTTTCCCCAACACACTCCTTCCTGAATGCCTCAGTCGAGCTATCTACTTGTCCATGAGTCCATATGTCAGGAATAAGACATATCTGAGGGATAAGGGATAGGCCCTAGTTCTCGAGTTTCTTCTGCCTCCTCTCCTTCTTTCTCCTTCTTCTCCTCTGCATGTATTTGATGAACACTGCCCGCATAAATGCATGCTGGGTGCTAGCCAAAACTGATCTCTGAGGCCCTGCATTCATTCTTGCATTTTTTTTTAAAAAGTGGTGCTGTGGAGTCAAACTCATAGTGTGACCTACAGAACAGAGAAGAGCTGCTCTTTAAGGTTTCTAAGGCTGTAATCTTTAGGGGAAAAGGAGCCCTGGTGGTGTAGTGGGTTACGCATTAGGCTGCTAACCACACGGTCAGCAGGTTGAGTCCACTAGCCGCTCTATGGGAGAAAGGCTTTCTGCTCCTGTAAAGATTTATGGCTTTGGAAACTCTACATAATCAGAATTGACTCAGTGGCAGTGGGTTAATCTTTAAGGATAATCTTTGCACTTGTTGCTAAGTGATGTCTAGTAAGTTCCAACCCATAACAACCCTGTATAAGGTTTCCGAGAAGCAACTGGTGAGCTTGAACCGCCAACCTTGCAGTTCAAACCAACTTTGCAGTCCAGCGCATCAATCCACAGCACCACCCCAGGACTTTGCACTAGAAGTAGTGATTTTCCTGCTTCATTATTTTTGTAGGGATATCCCCCCACCCCCAACCTCCTTGGCTTTCCTTCCTTCTCCTCCTCTTTTCCCTCTGCCTCTGCTTGCTGTTTCTAATCTGTCACCTTCTTCTATACCGTGTCACCTTGCATTTCCAATTGCCCATGCTTCCCTCATTCCTACTCTCAGGTACCTAATCATTGAGAACTTCATCCCCCCTGAAGAGAAGAACAAGATCATGAACCGGCTTTTCCTGGACTGTGAGGAGGAGCAGTGGAAATTCCAGCCACTTGTACCAGCTGGAGTGTGAGTCTGTTTACCCAGTTGTCTGGGCCTAGGGACTCTCAGTAGGGAATAGCTCGGGCTTGAGGCCCTGCTTGAGGAAAAACACAGGTGTTTTGTAAATTGGAAGGGGGTTATTGAGATTGGGACAGATGGAAGAGTAATTTCTCAGGACCTAATTTGGAATCCCTGAATGTTAACACACTCAGCTTCTGACTGTTCAAATTCTTCCAGAGGTGCCTCTGAAGAAAAGCCTGGAAATCTATTTCCATAATATCAGCCATTGGAAACTCTATGGAGCACAGTTCTACTCTGGTGCACATGAGGTCACCATGAGTCAGAATTCACTCCGAAGCAATGGGTTTTGGTTTTAATTTAATTTGTAGAGGCCTCCATGAAGGAAGAGTGTTCTGGAAAGAAAACAAAATGATTTATTGGCCTGGGATGCTTAATATCCTGAGGTGCTTTAGGACCTCCTCTCTTGGCGATCCTGGAGAATGCTAACACCTGGCCAGTTCTGATTAGTACTTACTTGTTGAGTGCCAAAGAGAAGCAATAACAATAGATAATATTTGCCAAGAATTTACTGTGTCCGGGCCCCGTCCTAATCTCTGTAGCAGATGATAAAAGAGATCCAGTCAGACCTTACAGTCCAATGGCAACTACAAACAATTATTCAGATCATGAATTGATCCAGGTGTGGTCCAATCTCCATCACCTCGCTTGACTTCGTGATTCAGCATTTGCACCTGTTTCTGTATCATAACCCATTTGTAGCGTTTACTGCTGTTAAACTGGTTGTACAGCACCCTCTGCTGGTGGCTGAAGACCCAGACTGGATATTCAAACCTCACCAGCCCAACCACACTGGCCCTCAATTGCAATCTGTCTATAGAGGTGCTTAGGAGGCTGGACACTAATGCATTTCTGCAGGGATTATTTTGCTCTCTCTGACCTAGGAATGTTAATACCAAGATGTGACAGGAGTTTTCAAAGCTGGGTGGCAAACTCACTGGAATATCAGATTCCTACTTAATTTGGCTTCTGTCTGAAAGACCTATCTAAATCCAAGGTGAATTAGATTTTTGTCACCATTTTTGTAAGTAACAAGTTTGTAGGTATAGGAGATCTTCAGTGATGTCTCCTTGGATATATAATCCATACTTTCCATCTAAGTAGAGACCTTTACAACATCTAACACGGAGATTCACCACCCTCGCTGCAATTAGAATTGGTCTCCAAGAGTCTGATTTCTGATTTAAAGGGTTTTGGTTGAATCTCAGGCCTTAATTTGTTTCTTTCTTCTAAAGCTTCCAGGTGTTTCTGCAATAAAGCCAGGCATCGGAACTACCACTACAGTGCCGTCTGCTGGAGCAGACGTTGGCGAGGCTTCTGCACCATAGGGTTATTTTGTGCTTAGTTTCTGAGTTGAAAGATTGCAATTGGAAGGGTTTCATTACACTGGATGCAGCTGTGACATCAACATGTTCACTAGAGACCAAGACCCAGACTGAGAGAGACTCTCAGAAGGCAAACATTTACTAACTTTTTATTTGAAACATAAATTTTGCAGGAATAGTACCAAAACTTCTTCTATACCCTTCAAAAACAAATTTACCAGTTGTTAACATTTTGCCACATTTTGCTTTATTAATTTCTATCTCTCATTTCCCCCTTTCCTCCATCTCCTCCCTCCCTTAAACACATGAGATTAAGTTGTAAACATTCTGACCTTTTACCTGTATTCCTTAAGAAGGAGGACATTCAGTTATGTAGCCACATTGTTGTTGTTGTTGTTAGGTGCCATTGAGTCAGTACTGAATCTTAGTGACCCTATGTACAACAGAACAAAACACTGCCTGGTCCTGAACTAGCCTCACTATTGTTGCCATGCTTGATTGAGCCCATTGATGCTGCCACTTTGCCAATTCATCTTGCTGGAGGGGTCTTTCTCTTTTTCTCTGACCCTCCACCTTATCAAACATGATATCCTTCTCTAGCAACTTGTCCCTCCTGACAATATGTCCGAAGTATGAGAGACAAAGCTTGGCCATCTTGGCCTCCAAGGAGCACTCTGGCTGCACTTCTTCCAATACAGATCTGTTGGTTCTTTTGGCAGCCCATGGCACTTTCAATATTCTCCTCAACCATAATAACTCAAAAGCATCAATTCTTCTATGGTCTTCCTTATTCACTGTCCAGCTTTCACATGCATATGAGGTTATTGAAAACACCATGGCTTGGGTCAGGGGTACCTTAGCTTGAGAAAGCTGACATCTTCGCAATTGAACACTTTAAAAAGGTCTTGTGCAGCAGGTTTGCCTAATGCAATATGTGGTTTGATTTCTTGACTGCTGCTTCCATGAATGTTGATAGTTGATCCAAGAAGAATGAAGTCCTTGACAAGTTCCATATTTTCTCTGTTGATAAGAATGTTATTTATTGGTTCATTGGTGAGGATTTTTGTTTTCTTTACACTGATATGCAATCCATTCCAAAGGCTGTGCTCTTTGATCTTCATCAGTAAATATTTTAAGTCCTCTTCACTTTCAGCAAGCAAAGTTGTATTATCTGCATATCACAGGTTGTTAATGAGTCTTCCTCCAATTCTGATGCCGTGGTTTTCTTAATATAATCCAGCTTCTCAGATTATTTGTTCAGCATACAGATTGAATAAGTATGGTACAAGACTACAACCCGTTGCACACCTGTCTTAATTTTAAACCATTCAGTGTACCCATGTTCAGTTCGAACAACTGCCTCTTGGTCCAGGTACAGATTCCTCATGAGCACAATTAAGTGTTCAGGAATACTCATACTTTGCAATGTTGTCCCTAGCTTTTCATGATCCATACAATCAAAAGCCTTTGCGTAGTCAATAAAGCACAGGTAAACATCTTTCTGGTATTCTCAGCTTTCAGCCAAGATCCATTGGACATCAGCAATGATATCCCTCATTCCACGGTCTCTTCTGAATCTGGCTTGAACCTCTTGGAGGTTCTCTGACAGTGTATGCTTGCAGCTGTTTCTGTATTACCTTTAGTAAAATTTTTACTCGCATGGGATATCAAAGAGATTATCCGATGACTTTTGCATTCCATTGGGTCACCTCTCTCTGGAATGGGCACAAATATGCATCTCTTCCAATCAGTTGGCCAGATAGTTGTCTTCCAAATTTCTTGGCATAGATGAGTGAGTGACTCCAGTGCCACCTCACTTTCTTGAAAAATTTTTATTTTCATTCCATTAATTCCTGGTGCCTTGTTCTTTGCCAATTCCTTCAATGCACTTTGGACTTCTTCCTTCAGTATCATTGGTTCATGATCATGTGCTATCTTGAAACGGTTGAACATTAACCATTTCCTTTTGGTACAGTGACTCTGTGTATTCCTTCCATCTCTTGATGTTTTCTGCATCATTCAATAATTTGCCCAGAGAATCCTTCAATAATGAAAGTTGAGGCTTGAATTTTTTCTTCAGTTCCCCCAGCTTGAGAAATACTGAGCATGTTCTTCCTTTTTGGTTTTCTGACTCCAGATCTTTGCACATTTTGTTGTAATATTTGACTTTGTCTTCTGGAGATGACCTTGAAATTTTCTGTTCCTCTCTTGGACCTCCTCATTTCTTCCATTTGCTTTAGCATCTCTACGCTGGAGAGCAAGTTTCAGTGTCTCTTCTGACATCCCATTTGATCTTTTCCTTCTTTCTTGTCTTCTTAATGACTTTTTGCTTTTTTCATGTATGGTGTTCTTCATGTCATCTCAATTCTTCTCATCTTCAGTCTTTAGTGTTTAATGTATCAAATCTGTTCTTCAGATGATCTCTATATTCAGGTGGGGTATATTTAAGGTCATATTTTGGCTCTCTTGGACTTGTTTTCATTTTCTTCAGCTTCAGTTTGAATTTGTATATGAGCAATTGATGGTCTGTTCCATAATCTGCCCCTGGCCTTGTTTTGACTGATACTATAGCGCTTCTCCATTGTCTCTTTCCGCAGATGTAGTCAAGTTGATTTCAGTGTATTCCATCTCATGAGGTCTATGTATATAATCATCTCTTACACTGTCTAAAGAAGGTGTTTGAAATGAACAAATCATTGATTTTGCAGAATTCTATCATGCAATCTCCAGCATAATTTCTGGAACCAAGGCCATATTTTCCTACTACTGGTCCTTCCACTTTGTTTCCAACCTTTGCATTCCAATCACCAGTAATGCATCTTGACTGCATGTTTGATCTATTTCAGATTGAGGAAGTTGGTAGAATTCTTCTATTTCATCCTGTCTTTAGTGGTTGGTGTATAAATTTGAATAATAGTGGTATTAACTGGGCTTCCTTGTAGGTGCATGGATATTATCCTATCACAGACAGTGTTGTACCTAATGACTGATCTGGATATGTTCTTTTTGACAATGAATGCAACACCATTCCTCTTCAATTTGTCATTCCAAGCATAGCAAACCGTGTGGCTGTCAGATTAAAAATGGCCAATACCAGTCCATTTCAGCTCACTAATGCCTACGATATCAATGCTTATGTGTTCCATTTCATTTTTTACAATTTCAAAATGTCCTACATTCATACATTATACATACCATGTTCTGATTTTCAGTGGATGTTTACAGCTGTTGCTCTTCATTTTGAATTGTGCCCCAACAGCAGCTGAAGGTGCCGTAGACTTTACTCCCACAGACTTTACTTCATTCGTGTCATCACAGTCAACTCTACTTTGAGGCGGCAGCTCTTTCCAAGTCGCATTTTGAGTGCCTTCCAATCTGAGGGGCTCATTTTCCAGCACTATATCTGACGGTGTTTCTATGCTATTCGTAAGGTTTTCAGTGACTCAATATTCTGAAGTAGTTCATCACTCCTTCTTCCTTGTCTGTCTTCGTCTGGAAGCTCATCTGAAACCTGTCCACCATTGGTGACCCTGCTGGTATTTAAAATACCCGTGGTATAGCTTCCAGAATCACAGCAACCCACAAGCCATCACAGTACAACAAACTTACTGACATCCCTTTTGA